TTCTCTTCGCTGGTATTATCTGCCTGCTTATTCAGAGTGCTGTTATTTTTCAGACACAGCCAATAGTCGCGCTGAATTTTGTGGAGTCAAATAAAACTGAACTTTCGCCATATTGCAACTCAATTTCTAATTGTAAACAATATTTTTACACTAATTATACATTTTTATCGCGGGTTGCCGATCCCAATCTAGGACTGTATATCAACATTTTTTCCTTATGCCAAAATCTCAGCATTTTATTACCTACAGATAAAATTAAGATTTAATATAAACACGATTATAAACCATATAAATATAAACTAAAAATAAGGAATTAAGGGAAAAGATATATATATCCCTAATCTTCCCCTTGCAATTGAACCTTTGTTGCCTTCGCCCTTTATATTAATTGTTTTACTCGTACATCATGCTAATTATTGTTACTCACTCGCCGCTGTCAACTTTGAGTTGTAATTCAGTTGATATTTTAATTAAAAAACTGTACCAAAGGTGTTTTTTATTTAATAAATGATACTTATTTTTAACTTCTGGGCTACAAGCCGACAACGATGTTTTGTAAAAATTATGATGTTTGAAATAATTATATAATTTTACTTTATATTATGTTTTATTTCTTATACTTAATTTTGATAATTTTTTTTGTTTATAATTTCGTTTAATAATTTGAGTTTGTAAATTAAAATGAATTAGTTAAATTTTCACAAAGGGTAATAGGAATATACATATAGCATTTTGTATATTAGTCAAAATACTATGTTAATATTAACTTCGCCATCACATGTGTATAATTTATGTATATAATTTCATCTATTAATGATCACGCATCGTGTAAATTTGTACCTCAAAATAATTTAACTCTGCCATCTCTATATGATTATTACTATGTGGATTTTCTAAAATAGGAAATCAGTGTGGTCGTTCACTTATAATATAAAATATAATAATACGCAGCAAGAACACAATTGTTTATATTGATAACACCTCTCTTGCCATCAGGAGTACTCCTTTGGCTATAGGTATGAGCTGAATATTATTTACATTTTGAACCTTCAAGATATGAAGGATTTGAAAAATAATTATATTTTAATTCTTACTTAAGTTACTTCCATTTTATTTTATTATACTTATATAATTTGTATATTGGATGACATTAAAATGTATTTTATTATTTTAATTAAAAAGGTCAAATTGAATTCATAAATTAAGATTGAGTGTATAAAATGTAGAACTGATTATCATTATCATCATCTAAAATTTTTCAAAACTCTAATTAAGCAAAGGAGAAGATTCTTGTAATTATAAAATAAATTGAAAAATGTTACTTTTCATATCTTTTTATGCTAAATCAGTTATCGACAAAATTGATTTAGTATAAAAAGATATAAAAAGTAACTTTTTTCTTATAACTTAAAAGTAATTACTATATTATAATATTCTATAGGTATGAGATATAGTTTAATATAAAGTAACATATTACATTTTTTCTCTAAATCTTTTTTCATGTAGAGTAAAGTTTTATAACAAACAACAGTAAAAAAAACACACACTATCTGTGTATCTTATTAAAAGTTGCAATCAATGAGTTTATACCGTATAAAATGTTATAAGAATTGTGAAAACCCATGTCTGCCACCATTTGTAATTAAGAGTTTACATTTCATATTTAGAATTTAATGAAAATTATTAACCAGTATTATTATTTGTGATGACTGCTTCACTTACTACGTTTACTTAAAATGACATAATATAGTAAAAGATAGTACGTGATCTTCATACTATATCGAGTGTTTCATAGGTGTAAACTTAAATAATTTTTATTAATTAATTAATTTTATTATGTTGATGCGCCGATGATAGGAAAGAGTTTAAGTGTTCACTAGTACTTATAATCTCTAAATAAGTAACCTTGAATAATTATTAACTTGATTTATATAAGTGAAATTTATTATTATCCAAAACTGTGTAATGATTATTTTAAATAATATTTAATCTTAAGTAAAAAAAAATGCTACCTATTAGAAAATAACAATAGAAATATAAAATCATAAATCATTACCTAAGTTACATATTAATTTTTTTTTTAAATCTAAGCTTAAATAAAGAAAAATATGAATTATTATATTAAATAAAATTATTATGACAATTTTATAATCAAACACATGGAATAGTAAAATAAAAAAAAATTAAACCAAACATTCAATAAAATATCATTTTAATCAAATGAAAAATATTTTATAATTCAACTTTAAACGACTAAAATGATAAAATAACTAATAAACTATGTTGAATGCAGAGAATTATTTTGATTAAAATTAAAGTTTAAGCTTACTTCTAGAAGAAAATATTAAAAAAAAAAAAAACGGTTTTTGAACGCATTCAAGAAGAGGATTTTAATCCTTCGGGGATTAAAACGATTTTATATAATATCCATAGGTGCTCTCGGTTTCCTTATTTAAGGGTCGAGTTTCATTATTTACTAGTAAAATACAATTACTTGTACATTTAAAGTCTTTTCAACGCTACCAAGTAAACATAACTGTAGCATTTATTCTTACCCAATGACAATTCAACTCTGTAAATCAAAACACCACGGTTGGCCACTTTGATGGAATGGATTAATGACACAAGCCTCTGATTGTAATTGATTAGCGCTATCACTTTTATAACTATAAAATACCTTAAAAACAACAATGTAAACTTGATGTTAATTTTTCTTTAAATAAAAGGATGAGATAAATCTGTTGATGTAGGTTTCATGATGATTCAATGAATATTGAATGTGTTATTAAGCTTTCAGTTTTGAAAATGTATAACCTATGTATGTGAAATGCGTAACGACAAAATGCGTTTGATGCTACGGCCTAAACAAAAAAAATATAAATTACTTGTTAATAAGACCTGAAAAAACAATGATATGGGAATTATTTAAACTAAAATAAATTAATAAATGCTATCGGTAGTCGGCCAGCATAGAACAATCTTAATGTACAGTGGAATATAAAAGGATACTAACAATTACAAAATTTGAAAAAAAGTATTCATGGTATCAATGAATAAAAGATTTATAATGGCACAAGTTCATTCAAAAAACATTGACAATCACCTGATAATTGACATAAAATATTGCAGAATAATAACACAGTTTTAAAACTATTTAATAATGATTGTTTTTTGATATCCTTAGTTGAACACCTTTTAAATATAAATAAAATAGTTTTAATTGTATACAGAGAAACACAATAATCATTATGGTTTCGCTAAAATAAAATAAAAATCTAAATTAAGTTATTATTCTCAGTGATAATATAATGATATTCAACAATCTGTATCGATTAGTATAGATAAGAGAATTACGTCTTCTATGATAACACGGTTTAAAAAAAATAAATTTTAAGCAAATCGTTCAAGAAAGAGAAGGAAGAACGGAATCTTTTTGTATAGTTGTCAAGATGATTCAATGGATATTGATCGTGTATTTAAGCTTTGAGTTTTGAAAATGATTATTATATAGTAAATTTGGCATGAAAATGGTATATTGATAATAAAAAACCTTAAAAAGTACATTCTGACTTTGATGTTAATTTTCCATCTAATAGAACAACGAGACAAATCTTATAGCCTAGGTCTCAAGAAAATTTAAAGAATATTGATTGTGTTATTAAGGTTTCAGTTTTGGGAATTTATTATTACATGAAAAATGGTTTTTTAATTATAAAAAACCTTAAAAAAAAACAATGTAAACTTGATGTGAAATTATTATATTATAAAAGGATGAGAGCAATCTCTTAGTATTGGTTTCATGATGATTCAATGAATATTGAGTGTGTTATTAAGCTTTCAGTTCTGATTATGTATATTCGGTGATTTAATTTGCATGGAAAATGGTTTTACAACTATAAAATACCTTAAAAACAACATTTTAAACTTGAAGTTAATCTTTCTTTAAATAAAAGGATGAAACAAATATTTTAGTGTAGGTTTCAATAAGATCCAATAAATATTGAGTGTATAATTAAGTTTTCAGTTTTGTGAATGTGTATGATATATTACGTATTACATGAGAAGTGGTTTTTTAATTATAAAAACCTTAAAAACAATAATGTAAACTTGATGTTAATTTTTCTTTAAATAAAAGGATGAGCCAAATCTATTAGTGTAGGTTTCATGATGATTCAATGAATATTGAATGTGTTATTAAACTTTCAGTTTTGAAAATGTATATTTGGTGATATAATTAGCGTAGAAAATGGTTTTTTTGATTTTAAAATCTTTAAAAACAATAATGTAAACTTGATGTTAATTTTTCGTTAAATAAAAGGATGAGCCAAATCTGTTGGTGTAGGTTTCATGATGATTCAATGAATATTGAGTGTGTTATTAAGCTTTCATTTTAGAAAATGTATATAATATATTATATTTTACGTGAATAATGTTTATTTAATTATAAAAAACCTATATAACCTAACCTGTCGTTGCAGATGTTGCAAATTTTTCTGTTGTAATCACACACATAAATAAACTAGATACATATTGCTTATTTTATAGGGTTTGGCACAATACTCTTCTATACAAATTAAAATAATTCCTTCCAGTACTTTATTATCTATTAATCCTCTTTTATCCTCGCAATGAGTAAATAATACACTGTATAATCCTTATTTTAGATGTCATTGCATTATACTATTGTGATTATTACATTAATTATAAAATGTATTGCTTAACTCTATGGAATAGTAGTTTTGGTGTTTCACACAATTAAATTAAAATATTATACCATACTAAGAATTATTGTATTTTAAAATTATACATGATTAAATATAAATATCTATAAATAATAATTTTCTATTGAAAAATTGCTCTATAGTTAATATAAAATTAAAAAATACTCAAAATATTATTTTATCAATATGTGGTGTACATTGAAAAAAAAATGAGAGTATATTAATTTGGATAAGTATAAATTATTACATTACAAACAAGTGTAAAAATTATTTATAATGTATGTATTTAATATTTTACAGTCCAAGGCTTTTCATCTGATGAGTATGGAGTTAATGGCAAGTCAAAAGGTAAAGGGAAATATGGTGAATTTCTTGTTTTGGTTTTGTCTATAGAAAATGTTTCTGATCCAGTCTGCAAAAATGAGATAATTAATATTTAAGAGAATAAAACATTTCAAATATTAAAAAGTCTATAACTACCACAAAATGAGGCAAGAGCAATACTCCAGCTTCATGTGCCATTATGTAGTTACTCTGATCTTTTGACTTAAATTTTCTGCCCCAAGCAGCTTTTAATAAATTAGCACTAGTCAACAAAAACCAAGACATTTGTGTATAACAAGATGAAATTCGGCAATATGTTTTTATATAAGGCATGACCTTTGATCTCTTTCGTGAATAGCATTCCCACGAGCTGAAAAATAATATATCAAAATAGAGATTATGTGTAAACAGGTCTAAATTGTTTGAACATTTTTAAAATATTTACCACATGTATTTTTCAAGCCATATTTGTTTTTCATGTGTTTTCTTATTGTAAGGTAAACAGACACCATCTAATGGTCCATTCCAACTATTCATAACATTTTTTTCAGATGGGTAAATCTAAAAGATACAATTCATTATTTATGTTAAATATTAAATTAATTTTGAAACTAACCAAGTTGAAGGAAACTGAATATCTGTCTAATACTGTAGGATCATGATAAGTAGATGCTGATAAACTATTGATAAACTCCGATTTAAACCATCCATTTTCAGTAGTACCCAAAAACCCCAGATTGGAACATTGTGCTATTATAGGCCATTCTGATGGTACACGAAATGGTAGATGAGCATGTTTTTCTAAAATACTTTTCAAATATAAATGACCCCACAACTGTTCTTGATGCTTGCCTGGAACACTAGGTATGAAAAATACACTACAAAACAAAAGGATTTTAATATTTTTAATTCATAATTTTAGCTTTTATTAACTTCTAAGTTCTTACTTTGCTTGACTGAAATCAACTTTTTCAACTTTTTTTATCCACTGACTTAATAATTGTTCATTAAAAGATTTTAAATATCGTAAAATATCTATTTTAAAATCAGTTTTTGAATTACCATCTAACGTATTATCCTTCTTTTTTAATGGAAACTTTGGACTTACCCAAATTCTAGAATTTAAAATGATTAAATTAAAAACAAAAATAACAATTATGTGACTTACCCTTGAGTAAATTTGGTCCAATCATCTTCACACAAATTGGCAGACATGACTACAACTCGTAAACTACCATCAGCATAAGCAAAAATTGATACCTTACTAAAATGTACAATACAATAACATTTAAAATCGAAAGTATTTAATGTTTTTATGTTTATATTTAATGAATAATACTGACCTATGCTGATGACCAAAAGCATTATCATTAATTATTTTTTTATGTTTTACATGTGGAATTTTATTTTTTAAATCTAATTCACTTAAATTTTCATCACAATGTTCATATAAAAGTGTAATATTTTTCCTTCTGAAAAAATAAATAATTAAGTATAATTTACTTTTAAAAATAAAATATTACCATACATTAAAATTATGTTGTACAAACTTATTTTACTTTAAGTAGTATGAATATAAAATTATTCTTTTAAAAGTTTAAGTATAGTTTGATACAATGCCTTAAAATTTAAGCTCCTAGCTATAAATTAGCTATGACTTATTATGACTCCTATCATTAAATATGTAATACATTAATAGGATTAAAAAATATAATAAGGATTTGCACAAGATAACAATTTGTTTTATGGACCATTATGTAACAATTTGCACACTTAAAATAGTGAAGTATATAATTTTAACATTTTTAACTCGTAAGGATAACCCTCTATTACTAATTTCAAATCAACATTATTACTAAATAAATAATATAAAACTAATTGCTTATTAATGTATTGAATAAATATCAACTTTTGTCATTTTGAACAATAAGATTTTATAGCATTAAACATATAAATAATATCTTAACATTTTTTTTTTGTTATTATTATCTAATATCATATATATTAAAAATGTAAAGATATTTGTAGATTAATAAATAATAGGCAAATGAAAAAATTAATATAAAATATAAAATTAATTTATAAAGACATGATTGCATGCAATAAATAATAGAATTAAAAAAAAAAAAAATTAAATGCTCAAAATATGCAAAAAATAAATAATTTACAATTTTTAGTTTGAAATTCTTGATGCATAAAACAAATTGAAAGCCTACTCTATTATATTAATTTAATTTTTACAAAGATTGATAAATGCTGTAATATGATTATTGAATAATTTTCAGACCTAAGGAAAACCAATATTTGATAATTTGATAATTTGATAATTTATACAACTGCAACTTTTAGTTTACATTTTTTTATTTTACATAATAGAATAAATATTATTATTAAAAACTTTTTATTCCACTAAATTCATTGCTTAATACCCACCCACCAATTTTGGTCTTGAGTTAATAGTCTCAAAAAAGTCTGCGTTGACACAGCACTGTTTACTAAATTTGAGCTCTGGTTATTTAGTCGTCTTTAGTAGCTGCATTACTAAAACCCATAGATTGATATTTTCTAACTTTATTTTAAGCATTGTTATTTATAACTTGTAGATTTAAATTGGTTCAATTACAAATTAAATTTGGTAAAACTAAAAAAATAGGCATATGGGCAATTGTTATTGTTAATGCTTTTTAATGGGGCTTAAAATGTAGTGTAATAAAATAATGAAATTAAGTCAATATATATATTATTGATAAACAAGATTTATCATCATATTACTTTTGATTAGTCATGATATATTGAGCAAGAAGCCAGTTGAGCTCAACCATGAAGTTTATATGAAGTGATTCGGTCAAATCACCGATACTTTGGTCCAAAAGTTCTAAAACAAATAATAATTAAAGTTATACATTTGATTTTGTGTATTTTGGCTAAAATTACAACATTGCTAATACCTTAAATACCATTATAACACTAACAGTTAATGTAGTATCTGTAATTGGTTGTCTTTTAAAATATATAGTAAACTGTATACACACCTGGAAATGATAGTGTTAGTCTTTCAGTGTGTGTTCCTGGATCGCATTCTACGGGAGACAAAAATATCCTAAAAGGTTCGGATTGTTCCAACTTTTTGTTGACCGTTCCTTTCGTAAGTTTCCACACTTCATCGATATACAAATCCGGACCCGTGGAATTGGACCCTGACGCCATAGCTTGATGTGGAGAACGTGAATTAAAACGCACACGAAAATTATGCCACAAAAGTAAGAATTTGTGTAACTATTGTAATAAGTAAAAAGTTAACAAATAGCAAAACGACCAACGAGACCAACGAGTATCAAAACGACAAATCACAAGATAACGGATAGGCAATAGAAATATAAAACTTAAGCATATATTATGGTGTATACTAAATTACTAAATAGCCGTATCAGCTACTTCTATTCTTCTCTTACCTTCACTTCTTCTTCTTCTTCTTCTTCTTATAATATAAAACGAAGAATAGTTGCTACACGGGCCGATAGGTTTAGTGTCCCGACCAATCGAAAAATTCCGTTTTTTTACTTCCAGTCGTTGTCCCATATCTCCCCGTCGTTATCGTTTCTCCCACAGCCGTCATCGTTATCGTTATCTCCCGCCGTCGTCGTTATCGGTAGGGTTATTGCTTATTAGTTATTACTCATTATTGTTTTTTATATACCGTTTTTTCCGCTTTTCCCCCGGTTTTCCGGCCTTTTGAGACCTCTTTCCGTCGCGTTCTCGACGCTATAGCCCAGAGCGGGCCTTTTTCGTCCGGTCCGCGCGTCTCCAAATTTCGTTCGCGGCCGTCGCCGTCGCGTCCGGAAAAAGCGTACTCGCGGCGCGTTCTCCGGTCGGTCGTCGTATCGTCACTACTGTTTTTTTTTTTTTACGATACGATAAATCGTTTATCCGTATCGATTACGCGTTTTTTTGTTTTCGGTGTCTCCGCCCTCGGACGCCTCGGCGACCTCATCGTCTCGATAGCGTACGAAATACGATTATATGTGTATATATATTATATATATATATAATAATAATATTATATAAAAAAAGAAACGTGCGTACCTTTGTTGACGTACGTCAGATCGTGTTTATTATATACAAAAACATCGCAAAATCGTTGCTCTTCAGTCGTTGTAACGCCTTTCATCGCATACCTTTGGGGGGATATCGTGATATGTGTATGTGATAATAAACTCGGTACGTCGTTAAGACGTATACGATTAAAAAATGTAAACGAATACGTCGGAAACGCTCTAAACGACAATTAATATGCGATTTACGGTTTCGTGACACGCGAATCGTAAAAATCGTATCGCTTAAACGACGTATAATGTAGTATTCGTCGCATCTCTAAAACGGTTTAAATGCTCGAGATTAGTTCGTGTTAAATAAATTAAACTGTAGTCGATAGGTGTTAGGATAGGTCCCCCGTCGTTAGATAGGCAGGTTCGAATCCTGTTCCGGCGTATTCCGGGCGGCCCCATAAGAAACTATACGCTCGGAATTTTTTGCATTTTTTTTTTCATTTAATTCGATCATTATTAATTGCTATTTTCGTTTTGATATGACATTAATACTCATAAAATATTTTTCAAATTTTAAAAACGATTTTTGATCTCACACATTACATTTTATACTGCTTGATTGATGATGACAAAATATATTATATTATAATATACTTTACACGAACGTTAAATTACACAATAGTATTCAATTATTCATTTTTTTAAATAGATTAAAGATAGATTATTGTATTCAATTAAACCAATTATAGTTATTGCTAACAGTCTGCACGATTCAAATGTACATATGTGATATGCAATTTATATTATAGCCTGAGAACATTCTATTGATGACGATACAGTTGTTTCACTCAGTTTTGACGGTAAATTCACTATTTTATATGTTTAGCCTTTCAGTTGCTTACATTTGAAAGATACAGGGGAAAAACAGTAGCAAATTATTTTTCTTTTGATTTTTAAATATTTTGTCATCACAGAAAGCGCATAATATTTCTTTTCGATATCTAACCATCTATAAAATATGAAAAAAAATATTAATTATGTATAGTTTTTTTGATTTTCAATTAGCTAACGTTCGACATGCGTTTTCCATAATACGTTTAACATCTCTCCTTTACGCCCACATCGTCCGCGATCCGACGCAGTCGGATCGCCTACCTGGGAGGTTCAAACGCGTTTAATTGGATTTTCAGTGGTGATCGCTTGAAAAATCGAGCGCTCGATTCGACTTAAACTTTTTTGCGTACTAAACAGCACAACGCCTTCGACGTCAGGACGTATGACAATCCGCCGCAGGCGGATTGCCCTGTCAGGAATCGATATTCACTGGACGATGACTGATAACTAGACACTTAATTAGACTTTTATTATTTACGCGTTTAAAACGACACCACCAAAGTGTAGAGCCACCAAATCAGAGGTACCAACATCTCAATCGTCGTTATCACTGGTTTTGCCTATTAGACTATTCTAACTGCTGTATTCGTAAGTCCTGTCTCCGACCTAGGAAATTCACTTTTAACGATATTCAGCTACCTAGGGTACTCACATACAGCGAGTTTTACCGTCCTAGGGTATTCACATACAGCGAGTTTCACCGTTGCTAGTCTTATAATCTTATAATATAAAACGAAGAATAGTTCGCTCTTCTGCCGATAGGTATAGTGTCTCGACCAATCGAAAAATTAAAATTTATTCTGTCTATATGTCTCCCCGTCCTTATCTCCCGCCGTTATCGTTTTTCGCCCGATTTTCCGGCCTTTATAGACTTTTTTCCGTCGCGTTCTCGATGCTATAGCGAAGAGCGGGTCTTTTCGTCCTATCCAAGTGCGTTTTTCGCTCGGATTCGGTCCTCGGCCGCCCGTTTTTCTCTCCGCGCGAGTCAGTTTTGCCTTTTTCGCGTCCACGCGTTTTCTTATCTCTCAGAACGCGTATTTTGCGAACCGTGCGCGTGCCGTGTGTCCCCGAATTCCGTTCGTGGCCGTCGCCGTCGCGTCCGGAAAACGCGTACTCGCGGCGTATTCTTCAGTCGGTTATCGTATCGTCACGTATACTCCTGTTTGGTTTTACGATTCAATAAATTATTTATCCGTATCGAATACGTGTTGTTTTGTTTTCGGTGTCTCGACCCTCGGACGCCTCCGCGACCTCATCAGTACTGTCTCGATAGCGTATAAAATACGATTATATGTGTATAATAAGGAAACGTGCGTAGGATTGTTGACATACGTCAGATGACAGATTCTAATTTGTATAACAAAAAGAGATCGCAAGTCTTGCTCTCGAGTCGTTTTAATACTTTTAATTGCATACATTTGGGGTGACATCTGATATGTGTATGTGATAATAAACTTAGTACACCATTAAGACATATACAATTAATTAATGTAAATGAATACATCATAAACACTCTAAACGACAATAAATATGCGATTTACGGTTTCATGACACACGAATCGTAAAAATTGCATTGGTTAACTCTTTATGGGTTAGTGCCTTAGTGGCATGCGCCGCGGAAGCAATGCGAAAGCAGATCCCGCGGCGTCGTCGGTTAAAACAGGAAAAAAAAAAGTGCCTTAGTGGCATAAATAAAAACCACTTTGATTTGTATAGTAGATGAGCACGGTTTTTTTTATGATTAAGATATAATCTAGACTGTGGCATGTATGGAGACCACTTCTAATATTACCATAAACGAGCAGAACTATTTTTTGTTTGATAATATCAAATGGAGCGGGTACAGTTTTCCCGATTTTGATAACAAGTAATAACAGCAAACATGATAAGAACAAAAAAAAAAGTCATTGCCAACCTCCAAAATTTAGATAAAATCCCATTTCCCGCTTTATTCGCCTGCAAATAAATAAATAAATAAGAAATAGATTTCATACCAATTGCAATTTCTCGATAAATGTATAATAAGAAATTTTATCTTCTATAAATTAACACCCTGTTTAGTTAGCTTTTAATCGGTGAAGTTAGGTTTTTATCATTTATTATTTGTATTTAATTCATTGATCATACTTTAATAATATTAAATATAGTATAATATACTATATACTTGATAAAATATAATATTATAGTTCTTTTAATAATTACCATTGACGCATCTATAATCTATGAGGGTGCCAAAAGGTCTTTAGCACTCATTATTTTTTCTTATTGCTATAAATTTTTTAGTTCACTTATTAGAATAAGTGTATATTTTCCAATAATTGATACTGTAATTATCAATCTTAATTACTAAACAGTACCTTTTTTTTTATAGGTTGTTTTTAATGTAAAGATTGATGTGTTAAAAGCTGTAATGATAGTTGTCTTTAATTTATTATCATCTAACTTTAAATTTAAAGATGCATGTCTATTTAATAAAATAAAGAAATTCAAATGTTATTTAATTTCTCTAATATTGTAGTAGAAAGATGTATTATAAATGTGTTGTTATTATTAATATTAAGTATATTTAAGAAGTTTTGAAGTATTGGTTAATGTAGATATTTCATTGTATATTATAAAAAATGTCTCTTAATGTACCTAAATAATAAATATCCAAGATATTATATTATTAAATTTTTAATCTGATTAATATGATGAGCATAGATACTCAATTGAAATTACAAAAATTGAATGCCACCATTAAAAATTTAAAGAAGTACAGAAAATTATTAATATTAATTATAATATGAAAAATCATTAATACTAGTTATGTAGACATAGATTACTTTTACTAATTGTTTTTTTTTTTTTTTTATTGGTATATATATTTGTTTAGAGTAGTAGCTCAAAAGTTTTTCAAATATTATATTCAGCTGCTCTATTATTCAAAAATGTAGAACTACAGATAATTTTTGTGAAATTTGCAGTGTTAATCCAATAAATAGATTTGCATGAAATTAATTTTAGTTGTCTAGCTATAACTTATAAGTTATAACTGATCTACAGTCTACACAAATATTGATAAAAGAAACTATTATTTATTTATTTGTTTTAAATTATAACAAATATTGATAGGTAGGTATATATAATGTTTAGAAAAAAAATAGTTGCATAATTATGTGAAGTGATTATTAAAGTTATAATTATTAATTATTATTATTATTATTTTTTTTGGGATGATTTTAGTAATTTAAATAATTATTAACACTTCTATTTCTTATATATTGGAAATAAACTTAACTTGTAACAGGTATTATTATATAAGTACTATAACCAAATGGCAGATTGCTACCTGCAATTGGCAGTTTCTTCTCAAGTTTATCTATTTAATTATAATAACTATAATATTTATTGTACTAAATTGTGTACATTAGTATACATAATACTTTCATGATTAATAAAAATATACTTGTGTATCTATTTCTCTTAACCAATTATTTTTATAATATAACTATAATGACTGGGTATAAAAATCCAAGATAAGTACATTTGAAAACATTGCTCCTCTTTCATAAGAACCTGTCTCTTGAGAAAATTCACTAATGTGTACATCATTCTATCTATTTTGTCCATTTATCATTTCTATCTACCCGTATATAAATTGTTTATTTTTTTTATTTGATCACTCTATTATTAACTATAAAAAAATTAATGATTATTTTAAATTATAATTTTATTATTATGTCACTTTTTTTAGTTGTGTTTATATTTTATAATGAAAATAATTTAATATATAATAAATGTAAGTATTTAATTTCAATAACATTTCATATTATCTTTTATTAATATGCATTAGGTGTGAAATCATTAAATATAAATGAATAGGTAATCAAATTATAAAAAATTATTAGCATGTATTATTAGCAGGTAGTATTTAAAAAAAATGCTTTTTCAGTGATAAGATCTAGAGGAGGATTTAATAAAAATTCGTCTGCAGCCCAATTTGAGGCAACATATAAAAAGCTATTGATACACCATACACACTGACATATCAATATCAAATAATGTAAATTGTACACCCCAGGACTCAACAAATATTCTTCATGTTTCAAGTAATAAAAAGAAACCAACTTAACATTTTTTGAATATGCTATGTGTAGAAGAAGAACCAAATATTATTATTGATGACAATGAAACAGGACAACATTTACCAAATTATAATATACACACAGTTGAATACATTGCTGAATTTGTTACAAAGAAAGCTATTAAATTTTTAAAATGTGAAGTTTGTATTCAAGCACTGAAAACCACTACTGATACAAAATATTTATTAATTGATTTAAAAAACCGAGGGGGTCTAACTAAGCTGGTAGAATATGTAGTTAAACTATGTAAAATTTCCGAAAAAAACATTTAAAACTTCAACCCAATGTGCAGTTACAAGCAGAAAAAACCCTGTAGATTTTTTAATATTAAAATGTATGTCTCAAATAACTAACATTTATGAATATTTTCCAAGTTTGGTTGATCATATCTATTCTCAGTCGCCTATCAATAACCATTTATTACAACTTATCAAATATATAATAAAAACTTACATAACAATCCAATTGCATCATTATAATAAGGAATTAAGTCAACCGAAAATTAGAGTGCGAACAGAATTTACAAACTGTCTGCTTAATATCAAGTGTAAGAACATTTAGCCACAGCAACGCGTGGCCGGGTCAGCTAGTAATTTATATAATTTCATTTAAAAATATATCATAATTTTATGTATACTAATTTTATTCTTAATTATATAATAAAAATTATTTTCATATATATTTCATATAATACAAGGTAAAATTAAAATTGTAATTGAATATAAAATATAAATGAAAATTGAAATTGATTAATTATCTATTATCTATTGTAAATATTATTATAAAAATCAAAATAAATCATATACCTATTATCTCAGATAATAAATATTTCATATTTAATAAAAGAACGAAACATTTTGAGTTTTTCTTCCATTGGTCTTTCTCTCTCACTCGATGTCGAATTGTGTATTCTCTCTTTATGCTCCGTCCATGAGTTAATAGGTCTATGGAAGGGACTACCTATCACCTCCATGACACTGTCGTGGTGGCTTATAAAAGGCATACAGAATGCGGTTCACTATTAGTGTGTCATCATTATTTTTTCAGTTCACTCTTTGTTTTGTGTCCAACTATAATCTTCGAAGGTTATTCACGGCCGTTAAACACTTGGTCACGATTGTTTTTAACAAACTATGGAGTCTATGGCAAGAGTATTCTATACTTTACTAATTATCACATCCTCCTGGGTGGAAGCTAAGAACGGAAATCCATTGACAATCTCAGAGATAAAACCAAGTGAGTAATGAGTACACATTAATTTATTGTAAATATTACTCTGAATTTGTTCTCATTAAATTTGTCATTTTGGTTTTATTATTTTGTTTACATTAATATTGTTTCTAAATAGGTACCTATTAACGTTGTCTTCTTTAATATATTTTTATTAATCTGCTTTAAAATTAATTCATATACCATATATACCATGATCGTTATAATTCATAATTATTAAATTAGTATTTATAAATTTTATTCTACTAATTTATAATAGTAATAGTAATAATAATTATAATTATAATTATAGTAGAATAAAATACATAGAGGATATTGATTAAATTTGGTGATTATTATTTTTAAGTTAAGGTATATTATGTTTAAGATAATATTATTTTTTATAATTTATATAAAATACAAGTATACAGAATATCATCTATATGACTGTATCTCTACTTTAGTAAATAAAAAACCGGAAAACTCACTTTTCGCTATATGATAAAATTCAAGAATTCGTCATTAAATAGGTCCTTTAAATATTTTCAAAATATATGCGCATATATAAAATTATACAAAAGTATAAAAACAGAAGGTATAATACGCTTATAATTTAATGCCATATTTGTCATTTTGTATTTTACAGCCAAATATAATACCAGTATACTAATATGTCCTCCACTGGGACTAGAAGTAAATTTTGAGGTTGCCACCATACATACAATAACGCGAATGTACGGTTGTGCTTACTTAAAAAAAGATACTGTAATGAGTACAACTCCATTATTAAATTTGTGGCTTGAACGTCCCGTGGAAACCAGCGTACATAGACATTGTGATGATCTGACAAGTACGTATAACGAATCTTTATTGTTGCGGTACAACAATGTGGGAGGTATGAAAGGTTACGAATACTGGGTCCGCGTCTCCAGTTAAAATATCACTAACTAAAATGATGTGTATATATATAAATTAAAATATGAATAATGAAAAATGAAAAAAAAAATGTAGAAATTTACTAAAAAACATATTTATTAATTAGTATAAATTTTGTCACTATGTCAACATTCATAAATTACTTTGGAGTATGGTGAAATTGATGACATTCAATGCATCGCTGCAGTAACATAACATATCAAATATTAAATAAGTTTAGAAGCTTTTTATAACTGTGTGCATATTTTATTACATACATAGAGTAATAATAGATAACATTGTTGTACATTTATTCTGTAAAATATTCAATAACCTCATTAATTAAATGTATAATATTATCAGCCCCAAGTTAATTTCATTACTGTTTATAAACTTATTAAATACCTACTCTGTATTTAAGTTTAAATAGATTTGAAACGCACAGACGCACAATTACCAATTAATGTTAAATTGTCACTTCAATTTGTATAAATGATCACGTTCGTTTTGACAGATATATAATACGTATATATGGAATATAAAATTCACTTATGCATTCGTACTCGTATACGAGCACACTGATGTAAATTACCATCGTCTAACATCGTCCATCAAATGACATCTCTATTTAGGTTTAATAAAATGCAATTTAATCTTATCATCCTGGTTAGAAATAGTATTTTTGTTTATTATTTTATACCTACAAATTATATTTATATTTTAAAAGATAACTAACTACTTACATCATTATTTATTTATTAAATAATTAACGCCCGCGTTGAAAAAAAAGAGTACAACATAGACACAAGATAGAATTATAAATAATATATAAAGTATGAAGACATGCATTATAATTAATGCATAAAAACATATTTTTAGACCATTAATTAAATACTAAACTACATTCGGGGTGCATTGCTTTAATTCAGAGATAACAAACTAAAATATTTATCATACTAATGTATTTTTTTTTTGTTTTGTCTATCAGATATGGATCATTTTGTTTTTGAGTGTGTGTCAAAATACGATCCGATCAATAGTGAAGAAAATGTTCAAGGCTGGAGTTATGTAATTCTATTAGAACGTAGACCATACTTGAAGAATAATAATGAAACTAACAAAACCCATTTTTACAGATGTGCCGTAAGTATACAATATTTACGTACTTACCTAATATTTAATATTCTATATTATTGCAATAGAAAAATTCATACTACCTACAACTTATATTTTTATTAAATTTATGAAGAGTGGAAGCACACGAGAATTTATAATCATTCTTATATACATAATATAAGTTTTGTGTTTTCAGACAAGTGGTTGCTGATATTTAACTTATTATTGGTGACTTAAATCATAACGAAAAAAAAATATATCATGAGAAAATAAAAAATGATAACGGAAATAACTATAATCGAATAATACGTTTAACAAACTTATAGTAAAATAGTAGAACTAGGTACCACTAGCAAATGATATAATATATATATATTTGCTTAAATTTTTAATTTTGTAAAGTTAAATTGATGAAGCCCTTGTGCTATATATAATAATATATTTAAATTAACCAAACGCTATTTGACAGTTGATCATCCACGTAATAATTATTATGTATTTTTACAATAAATAAATATAATTTAATATGTTATACATGACATCTAATCGTTAACGATCGTTTGATACTGCTTTCTGATAATGATCCTCTGGCTAAGAGGACCATTATGTTAAACGTAATGTCTAATCGTCAATAGATACTAATCAACAACTATTCAAATACCTTTTTTTTTAAAAAAAATAGAGTAAAAAAAAATCATTAATTGGTATCACTAATAGTTCTTCATCGCTGTCTTTACATTAATTCGACCCGTAATATTAGCTTTAATATTAGAGTTGAAATTTATAACTTATAAATTATAAGTCTAAAACAAAATGTTATTGACAATTGTGGATTGGGTTAGGTTTCAGTGTATTAGTATTATTTATTAATATAGGTATATAATTAGTTATAATTTATTAAATTTTTTCTCTCTATCTATCTTTTGTCTTTTGGTCCGCAGGTGTACGATGTGCATGACTCATCTGTTGAGGGGGTTAAAATAATTCGAATGGCCATCAGTGCGCCAATTAAAGGACATATACATGGAAGCCAGTGCGAAGGTCTATCAAAAACGATGGGACAAAGTGAATTACCATACGTTCCCGAGGGGCGACGAACTTGGCCCAATGGATCACTATATTTATATTTGTTAGGAAGACGGCCATTATTTGATGGATCCCCAAAAAAATAACGACAAAACTGTTAAGTATCTTATCAATCGTCCAGTGACAACACAAATCATAACCATAACACTTTTTTAAATTTAAAATATTTTAAATGCAAAATAGTATATTTGTTTTGAAATATTTCAAAATATTTAGTTGCATATTCAGTCATTTAAGAGATTATGTTTTATTTATTTTTATAGTCGTAGATGTTTTAATATTCTAGATTCTGAGGAAAGTAATTTTTTGATTTTACAATTATAAGTAACATTGTAAATTTTACAACCAAAAGTAAAATCTTTTTATTTGATGGCTCTTTTTAAACTATCAAAAAACATTTGAATTTTCGAGGTTTTTTAATTATTTTTTATGTATTTATGATAACACATAATGTTTAAATATTCAATTCAAAATTTTTCATAAATTTCTTTGCTAGAAGTTAAAAATAAAGGTTTAATGTGAAGCCATATTTATTTTTATGAGAAACTAAAGACTAAAATTTAGATATTGATAGCATTAGATATTTATTTATATGATAACGGTTTTTTCATTTAAGGTGCTTCTTATTAATTATTTAAAAATTTAACACTTCTATTACAATATCTATTCAATTAGTATATTAGTTAATGATGATCAATTAGTGACACCTTCTATATATCAGGGACAATTTCTTGGTTTATTTTAATAATTATAGTATTAAACAATTACTATAAATATTTTTTAAATTATCATAAACGTTAAAAATTAAATCTAAAAAATACATAACCATCTAATTTTTATTGTTAAAAATTAATTTTTCGTTATAATATTTATAGATTTAATGAGAGGATGGCATAATCAAAACAAATAATCCAACAACTAACTATCACTTTAAGTATCACTTTTCACAGAAAAACACTTAATATATTTAACCATCTTAATAAGTTAAAAATTCATTACATTTATATAATCTTAAAATTGTTTATCAATCACTTTTAAATTTTCTTTTTTTTTAAATAAGAGAATTTATTTAATTCTATTTACTTAATTTTTATTATATGTTAAATGTTTATAGTTCATTCTCTTGTATATATATATATATATATATATTTTTTTTTTTTTAAACAAATTTGCATACATTTTTGTGAGAGGAAGAGATTAAATATTTTTTTATAACAAAAATTTATATTTAATATTGTAATTTAGTTTTTTCTTGCAAATATATGTTTATGGATAATTATTTTTTGTCATAAATTTAAGTTGAACCTAACTCGGTAAGAATAAAATTGTTAATGTGTATAAAAAACAAGTCTGGACCTGTTACATTACTTGTCAAACATAATACTATAAATAACAATATTAGTAATAAATTTTGCTACTTTACTATTTTATATTTTGTTACTTATTACATGTGGTGTGCTATGTATTATTATGATGATATTGATATTGTGTAAATATATAAACATAATACATCCTTATGGTATAAACAGTCCCTAAAGTTGTGAGTAGTACAAAACTTAAAAAATGTGCTTTAAACAATATTCTATGTTATTATTATTTATTATTTTTGAGTGAAGATATTTTTTTTCTATTAGCTTGATTGGTGGTAAATTATGGTAGTATACTGTAATGGTATATTAATAAATGACATAGATGTAACTGTTGCTATTAGTATTATCATTATAATAGTCAATAATTATTTTACTAACCAGCCATTAGAAATTTAGTCACTAGGTTTTTGTATGTCTATACAGTATATAAATTATTTCCTTATAGTTGACTAATAAATTTTATTTTCATTTATTTCTACGTTTTATACAATTTAAACTAATATGACCTTATTACAAGCTCAAATACATTGGAATCTCCATTTAACGAAACTCTTACAAAATGTTTAATGGAATCATAAATTTTCATTAAAATAATATAGCTATTTAATGACTTAATTTTTATGTTATTTTTCTACAACAAATTTATAAATTTTTATTTTGTATTGATTAAGTACACACCTATGAATCAGATTAATATTTAAATAAATTCAAGCATTTTTATAGTCAGAATAGTACAAAAGTTGTTGAACAAGATATTAAAATTTTCTTCCAAAATAATGAATAATAAAAAAAACATATAATTAACATAATTTAAATGTACTTTTTTATTTATTTACTTATATTGTAAGCTCAAACGCAATTAAAAATCGAAGGACACTCTGTTGTAGAACCAAGAATAATTGACAAAAAACAAATAAAAGAAATACGCCTGAAAATGGTTGGATTAAACAACTCATTTTCCACAGTTGACTGACGATAAAGTATAAATCAATTACCATTTAATATTATTTTATTTTGTTTTTTTCATACATTCCACGCATGTTGATGTTATTACATTGTTTGACGTGGCGCATGTGAATTTCTCTGATTCGTTTTTTTTATCTGAAAAAAATGTAAATTCCATTGAAAAATCTTCAGAGCCTAAAAACTAAAAATATTAATCCAAAGTAATTTCCAAGCTAACCAATCATTTACTTAGGTTATTGTTTTATGCTCTTCCGTTTAACTAATGGCGAATCCAGGGGGATGGACCCCGGGTCTGACCCCCCTCCTTTCTCCATGACACATGTCATAATATTTATTTTTATTTTTTTTAATTTTTATCAAATTTTATTAATTAGATTGATATTAGATTTAGTATTTTGTTAATAACAATATATAGACAAAATCAATATTAAAACTGATGTCTAATGATTATACTATAACTTAACTAGCATAATAATCATAATTAATTGGCATACATTGTAAATATAAATTTAATAATGTAAAGAATATGTCTTTTGTTTATTAAGTAATAAAATGTATGTATTATTTAAGGAAATTAATAGAAAAAACAATAGATAAATAAATTTTTTTAGACCCCTTCTTGAATGAATCCTGATTGTGCCACTGCGTGTAACCAAATCTTTGGATTTTCTTCCACCAATTTCGTGTAATATTCATTAATATAAAACCTACTACCTATTGATTTCGAATTTAGCTAAATTAAATAAGTGGAGGTCAAAAATGCGTATCGATGAATTTAACATTTTTTTTTCTTGGAAAAAAAGTATCGGTGGAATTTACATGTTTTAAATACAACCCAAAAATCGACTACCTGTAAATCGGTGGAATTTACAATCGCTTGTTCGACGTATAACGTCTCTCCTCCGTGTACAGGTATTTAGATATTATCAATGCACTAGGCTTTATAAATACGTTAATGTTTTCCACGTACAGCCAATCAGTGTTTAGGACCACTCCACGACCACCACCTAACCATAGCTTATAACACTATGCAGAGCAGGTGTGGCTCGTCAACAGTGAGTGAACAGTAACATTCATTATTTGATTTCACCTTTAGCTTAGTACTGTATTGTGTGCTTCTCAGCCGTCACGGACTTAGTCACAACCGTTTTGATTTTATTCCTTTAGTTTAAATTTTAAATCCATATTTTTTTTTTTCACTATTTCAAATTAGCAGATTTGCTTGATTATCGCATGTCACAATGGAATTTGTAATACGAATTACAATTTTACTTGCCATCTCATCCTCTTGGGTGGCTGCCACGGAGAACAAAGATGTCGAAGCATGCATTCAACGAAGTAAGTACTACATTCATTATTTTATTGCTGTCGACGTTAGTTTATTATTTATTATTGATATAACTTTATCTTACTTATTTTATTTTAATCTAATATACAACTATTATTTTGAGATCGTTATCAAACGTAATTATTTACTTAATATACCATACATTTTATTTCACTTAATATATTATTATGATAATAATAATTATATTAACATAATATTATTTACAGCTAGGTATTTAGACTTAGAAATTATTTTTAAGTTAAGACAAATGGTATTTTATGTTTGAAATGTTTAATTATTGTTTTTTGTATCTAAATAATTTTTAATGGGCGTTACATATTATTTATAACTGTACAGAATATCATCTGTGTCAATACCTTGAATAAATAAAAATCGAGAAAAACGCTCTGATGTATTATAGGAGTTAATGTACCTCATTATTGATACGGATGTTAAAATTGTATTCAAGCGTAAATCATACTTATGATGAAATGCAATTATAAAAAAAAACAGTGTATTTATCGCCTATATTTCTATGGATATAATATTATTATAATATATTAATATTTTTACTAGTCATTTATTTATCTATTACTATATAAACAGAATCCACCGAAATGTATTTTTATAATATAAATTATGAATAACTTAAAAGGAAAGGGGTGGTAATATACTTCTAATAACAAAATCATCTTTTCTTAATTTTGTTGCGTGCCAATATCAGATCCAAGCTCAGGGTGTTATTTTAAATGAAAATTACAACTTTTAAGAACAATAATGTGTTTATTACGTATAAATAAAGTTCATGTAACTGATACAAAAAGTGGCTGAGTATTGTGAAGGTGCTCAAGTCTCTGTGGCTCTGGTACATCTGCTGTTGCTGGTCTCTGGGCTCCCTTATAAATTAAAAAGCTTCTTGTTATTGTAGTCCATAGCCTTGATTTCCATATATATCCTTGGAGTTGTTTTGATACTTGTTTTTGGTAAAAACAATATCCAGGATGCAATCTGATCATAATTTCCAACACGTGCCAACGCAATGTGTTGTTGCATACGAGTAATCTCAATAATGCATTTCACTCGTCCTCGGCACGCGTAATGCACTATTGCGATGTTTGTTATGATGTTATTGAGTAGATAATTACACCCGAAAATGCATTATGATCCTAATGCAACGAGATTCATAATAATATGTATCTATTATCTTGTGTTATGATCTGTAAGAATATGTTTACTCCCCAACACGTGTCATGGTCATGCTAATACTTATATTAGCAATATTATATATACTTATATTTAACAATATATCTCGTAGCCCATAACAATTTCTATCAACAATATCACCTCTATTTAATAAATTTAAAGGTTTTTTAAAAACAATTTGTTTAATAGAAATTTTGTTCAAAAAAAATTATAATTTTTCACTTAAAAACTTATTTTTTAGTGTTCAAAGTGTGTACAAATAATAATTTAAAATATCTATGTACAATATTAATAAATAAATAAAAATAATAAAAATAATTAAAATTATATTAAGTATATAAATTATAAATTTCTTTTATTCTTTACTTTAAAATAACTTTCTAATATCTTGTTCAACAGCTTTTGTACTTTTCTGATTATAAAAATACTTAATTATAAAAATTTGATAGACGGGCGTATATTTTATAAATATGAATCAATACAATAGTTTTAAATTTACTATAGAAAAATAATATACAATTAATTTGATAAATAAAAATATTTTTGAAGGAAAATTCACAACATTGTCGATAAATTAATATTTGACTGCGAATTGCGATGATAATTTTAAATACCAACGTTAAATAATATTGATTTTTATAGGTATTCAATAAAATTTAAAATACTTTTGGCCATTGATAAGTATACATAATATGCGTATAAACATCAATAGAATATGTATTTTCTTTCTAAAATTGACAAAATTTGTAAAATATGTATATATTTTTTTAAAACTCGCAGTTTATTTACTATACAATCATATGACTTCCAAGCTCCAGTTAGAATTTACACATTAAGTGATGAGCCAACACAGGACTATAGGTTAAACGAAGTCAAGGCTTCTTTTAAGGTTTATGCACGTGAAATAAACAATAATAGTATAATTAGCTTATTATGTAATGCATTTACCTGTGTGTTGCAGACAAGGAGAGACGCAGTGGCCGATTATGTCCTCCAATGGGATACAAAGATAAATATGAGGTAGCTTTTGTACAAAATTCACCCGTGAAGTACGGATGCGCCTTCATAGAACACGACTGGCAAATAACCGATGCGCCATTACTTCATTTGTGGATGGAAGAGCAACTTAACGACTCACCCACATATTGCAAGAACACAAGTAGTACGCATCAATAACCAAATATAGTGCTTTTACAGGGTTATATGCATTGTGCCCACAGATCCAGCAAAGCTCTTCCAAGCTAAAACCATATGAAAATTATATTGATTTCCTTATATATACTGAAAATACATTACACGCTTATAGTTCTACATACTTTTCATACGATTTTATCAATATAATCGCGTTTATTGTCAAATGTATATGTGTCAACTTTTGAATATACTGCCTAATACTATTATAGTGATACACACTTATAAATAACATAAATATCGTATTTTAATATTTATGTACTTTATGTAAATTACCGTGTGTGTATTTCAAGTCCGACATGACGATATAACGTACCTATCTATGTAATCAAATATCTACAATTAAGAACAAACGGTTGAAATTTCCCTGTCATGCATAGATTGGTTATCCTCTTAATTTTCTCACTCATATGGTCATATACAGTTAATGTATTTAAATACTTTTTATAATTTTAAATCTTTTATGATAACAGTGGTCTGTAACTCTGTCCACTCATTCATATTTAATATGCATTTGAAAAGTATTATGTTAAAGGTAAAATTAATGGATTTCCCATAAAATATGCACACCAATTTTATGATTTATAATACATAGTTTCATCTTTCTTGCTAATTAAAATACAAATTTTGTAAAAATTAAAATAAATATCTTAGGAAAAAATTGGTGTTTATAATGATATATACGTGCTAATAATAATATATACGTGCTACTATATAAATATTTGCTATTTGTGAATATTGACGCATTAATTAAACTTGTATTTTTATAAAATAAAATATAAAATATTAGGAAATATCTATGAACATTGGTATTATTGATTGGATTTTATTTAAACATAATTTTGGGATAACGATAAATTTTCATTAATATAATATACTAACTACTATACATATAGAAAGTTAATGCTTTTAATAAAATATTTTATTACTTTAATCAATAACTTTTATAATACTTTAATTTCAATAAAAATGATTTTACAATATTGCACTAATTCTTTAAAAATTAAATGATATTATATTATTGTTACTCTCTTATAAACTTCTTCGTGTGTTATAGTTCTCTAGTTTCTTCTCTCTACTAGTACAAAATCACTTCGGTAATAAGTTATAGTTACATAATATGATAATATACGCACGCAAACATGCAATCACAGCAGCAATAAACATTATCTAATGTCAACAAATTGGTTTCTTTACAAAAATATTCTTTATACTCTTGTATTTGTTATATTTCTCTATCAGATATGAACCACTACATTTTTGAGTGCTTGTCAAAAAACGAACCGACCAATGAGGGAGAGATTGACCAAGGCTTTCAGTACATGTCGTTATTCGAGTATACACCAAACCCATATTCTCAACACATTAATAAATCCAGCAGACTATCCTACAGATGTGCTGTGAGTATATTGTGTTTACATGATATTATTAATTTGAATATTAAGAAAAGTAGAACCTATCATTCGTTCTTAAATCTGAAAATCTACAACGCCGTGACTAAAATGATTACAGATGGAAATAGATTTCATTGTACTTATATTTTTTTATTTCTGTCATTATCTGTCTGTCCCACAGGTGTATGTCGCTGATGATCATGTTAACTATGGGGTTGTAGTAATTCGAATGGCACTTAGCAAGGGAAAAGCAAATAATTTTGATGTAAGCCAGTGTGAAGGTCTGTCGAAAATTCTGGTAAATAGAGATCTGCCTGACGATCCAGCGGTGCAACAAAATTGGCCCGAAGGAGTAACATATCTATTTATAATGGGAGACCTCCAGCCCAAAAGACGTATAACTACTACAACTACTTCAGCTCCTACAACAACTACAGAACCTTTAGAAGAAAAATACTCAACATTTTACAATTTATTGGGTATACTAGCGAGTAAGTTCTATTATTAAATAATAGTTAACTACTTTTATAAATAATTTTTGAATAATATAATGATATAAACATTATTGATGATATAAGGTCCGTATTTATATAAATACGAAAATAAAAAAATCCTTTAAATATGTAGTTGTATGCTATTTGTTTTTTAGTAACAATATGCTCTAAAAATTCTTGAATATTGGAATTCGGGCTTGGCAAATAATTGTTTTTTATTTTCATTTATTCTACGTTTTGAACTTTTAATGTACTACCATATTAAGTAGTATCAACGTATATAATTTAAATTTATTTTGTGCTAATAATTTTTTTGTCACTCAATTGACAAAACACTATAATATAACTTTCGATAAAAAAAAAACATTTTAAATTTATATATGAACAAAAAACTTGAAAAAATTAAAATAAAATCATTCATAAAAATGTAAGAACAAAACACGAAATTATGTCTATATTGACTGGTAATTGTGTCTAATACACAATATGTGTGTTCACAAATAAATGATGAAACTATAATCGAAAGTATAATTTTAAAAAGGAAATTTAAACAATACCAGTCAACATTTTTGTCGATGATCGCGTTACAATAAACATGGTATAATTTTCACACAACTATTCAAAAATATAACATAATATGGGGAATATAATTTATTTCCCAACAATACATCACGAACTCATAAATAATAATCTAGTTTCTGTGGTACAAAATAATTTATCTAATAAACTTTTAATAAAAATATATTTGAATATGCTATCATCCCTAAATTTTGCATTTTTATGCAAAATATACTTATTTCTATACATTTTCTGATGCATAATTTGTCCACATTTCTTAACTGTATTTACTCATTACAAAATATGTGTAAATGCATATAAATTCGGATCGTACGATATATCATAGATATAATAATTTAAAACATATTCTAATTATCTATATATTTTTATTTTTCAGGAATCATGCCCGAAACTTTTGAATTTGATGATTAACATACATCTTGTATTGAACTTAAAATATCTTATATTATGTAATTTCTATATTTTAATCAATAGTTATAACCAGATTTGCTCTACATTTGATTTTTAGGTGTTTGTCTTAATGGTATTATTTATTCTCACGTAATTCACATATTTTTAATGATTATGTTTTTTATACTTATGAGATATTTTTTTTTCATTATAAAAATAATTATTCAATATTATAACATATTTTCATTATACAAATATATATTTACTAAAAACGTATTTGTTATTATTATTTTAAGATCCTTTATATATTAGTAAAATAATTTATAATAATAATAATAAAAACTATTTAATAGCATTCAGCAAACTCTAAATAAATAATCACCTATTTGGTAAAATATATTACTTGAATAGAATAAATACTGTTTAAACTCTTTAACAAGAATAATAAGTTTTTCTTTAGTTTGTAGTCTACTAAAATGAAATATATTTTGCATAAAATTCCCAGTGGCGACAGTACAACACTAAACTTCTTTTAGTGTTTGATCCATATTTTTTTTTCAATAATTGTCCTAATCCCGAAAAAAAATATCTTTAAGGGCTACGATATTTTAGTTTAATTAATACCTCACCACTTAATTTTGATAAGTACATTTACTTAAACAACAACAAACCATAATAAATAAAAATTATATAATATTGATATAAAGTAAGCTTCTTTCTTCTATAAATATATTTATTGTATTCAATGATTTAAGCTAATAAAAAACAATACCTTAAGGCAGAGGTTCCCAAACTTTTTCTATTCGTGGCGCCCTTTTAGAATTGAAGTTTTCTCATGGCGCTCTTAATAGTATTTACGATCTTTTTTTTAAATAAAATACCGTTGTTTAATTTTTAACCAGATAACATAGTCGGCAGCGAGGCACAGCCGCGGCTCCCCTGACAACACACCGCGGCGCACAGTTTGAGAACGTCTGCCTTAAGGCATGATGTATATAAATATATTTCATATTTAAAATTTTAACAATAATATCTATATGCGTATTTGTTAATAAGTATATACTTGTTTAGAGATCTGATTAGTTTCTCCTGTATAATAATATATGTTTTCTTAGCGGTGAACAGGGCAAAACTTATTTTTTATATAATAAAAAATGTTAACGACTTTTATAATATTACCTTTGCCGAAATAAATTATTATTATTAAAGATTATATAGTACAATATGCCCACACAAATGAATCATAAAAATGTTGTGATTGAAATAATTATTAAAATCAATTGTAGCTAAAATGTTTTGTTTATTGGTCATAAGTCATTACACATATTAGTTTTATTAAATATACAAAAAGCGTGTGGTGAAGGTGTTGAGGACTCAACGGATATGGTTTATTTAAAAATACTATGTTGCACCCCGTTCTACTACTCAAAGACCTAAGGTCTATAAATTAACTACGGACTCGTAGTTGTATTTTTCGGAAAATCGTTTTTGATCAATTTAAACAATCATAGTCAGTGTAGACACCACAGTTAAGGCTTATTATTATATTATGTATGAGATAGGTTGAACTCGGTTAAAAAAATTTATTATTCATGATATTTGGTAAGTGTTTGGGCATCCGAGGCTATAGCGCTTATTGTAAAATATATTGTTTTGAGTAAATTGTATATTGAATTTTAAGCATCGCGGGATCATTAGATATTTTTAATTTATCATTATACAGGTATTCTGAAATATGTGAATTAATGATACAATTATAACAATAATAATAGATAGTAATTAACGAGTTATAAATTTTTTTTTATAATAACTCACATTTTTAAGCTAATTGACAATAAATCTTATTTTTTTAAATGATAACTGTGATATGTTTTTGCAACTAATAACTTAAATAATTAAAAACAATTACACCATCATTCACTAGAAATATTTGTTTCAACAAGTACATCACCAAATACGAATGTGTTGACTAATAAATTACTATTATTATTTTGTGATTTGTAACAAATTAATACCGTAACGTTGCATAGAAGTTAGCGGGTAAAAATATTCGAAATCGTATTTACATTTTTGCAAAGTGCCGGCCAAAATAGTAAAATGAAATAAAGTTATATGTACTAAAAAATAACAAAATAAATTATTGACTAGATACCACTGAAACATGAATTTACTACTACAAGGCATAATTCAAATATTTCTCAGGTAAATAAATCGTTAAAATATCACCTTTTTGTATTAATTTTTTATGTTCTCTAAACATGCCACGCAGCAATGAGGTACATTATTCGACGTATAACGTTCCGCGTTATATCTATACAAGTAGAAAGTACATGGTCGTAATAGACGTAATACTATAAAACAAAAATATCCCCTACGCACTCAGCGTTAGGGACCATTTCCAAGTGGCGCATACTAGTTGCCTCCCATCCTTATCGTAAATAAAAAGGTTAATTTACACTAGTTGCCTCCGATGACCAGGTAGTTCATAATTACATACGAGTTGCCTCCCATATAGAATTAAGTAGTGGTTCATAAACTTCACTAAACAGTTCTACATAAATAGGTAATGTTTATTCATTATTAAAAATATCAGAGTTGGTTAAAAACAATAATAATATAAAAATAATCAATAAAATAAAATATATTATACTACTTATTAAAAATATATAGTGCAGTTAAAAACATCAGTCTTAGGTATAATAATATGTAGAATAATATTATAATAGTATTTTTAGACAAACATTTGCTGTCTGGGGTACGTCGGGAAGCAATTCGTATAAAAATTATTGACCTTTTTGACTTCGGGAGGCAACTAGTGTGTCCCCCTTCCAAGACAGTTACTGTTGTAGCTTATGAAACGGAATTCTGATCACGGGTCAACATCAATGAGCTAACAGTACCATTTACTTTTTAGCTTTGTATCATACTACGTTCTTCCCGTTCTTTGTAGACTAGGTCACGATCATTTTGTTTCTGTCCCATCCGTTTAAATCCATTTTTTTTTTTTTTTTTACTTATTATTCGCCATTAGGTCATATTATTATTTTTTAAATGACTCACAAAACACGATGTAGTCTATAGTAAAATATTAATTTTACTTAGTTATTAGTCATCACAATATATTCCTATGACAGGGATGGGCAACTCAAAGAGTTACTATAGGGCCAATTTTTAGAAATTTAAAATATAGCGGGGCCAGAACATAGAAAGCAAAAAAAAAAAAAAAAGTCATTCAAAATATATATTTTGAATAGCATTTATTTTGTATATAATGAAATAGGACATAGGTTAAAATTCTATACCATGTAATATAAATATTATAACTATAAACTTTCTATTGTTTTTATTAACATACCTAATTGTATACACAATAATTATAAGCCATATAATATACGTTACATATATCAGTATTTACCAATTTACAGGCCAAAAAATATTTTTCATAAGTCGATATTCGTAAAATAATAAAAAACAAATTAAAAAATAATTTTAATTTAATTTATTTATATTTAAAATAACTAAATATTTACCATACAATAGATATTGCATTATTATATAATAATTAAATAATAATTAAATAATAAAATGTAATATATTTAAAATTATTATTAATATTAGTATCTATATTATGATATACTTGTTTCTTTTATAATTTACCCAACAATATGTAAATTTGAGTGTTTTAGTAACAAAAAGTTTGAGAAACCCTGAGCCACATTAAGTTTCTGTATAATAACAAGACATCCCCGTGTATAACGAAGGTCGTCTCACATTCTTCCGTGCTCAAATGTTCAATCGACTGTAGATAATAATCATAATTATCCAACAGACAGTCAGATCAGTCTAGTCTCGATGATTATTTTTATATCGTTCAATATATTTTAAACATGTCGGACCGAAATCGTTTAAATGCATATGGAAAGGTCGTAGCTGTGTGTTATTAAAAAAATATTGAACCATCGTACGCAGTCAGTAATGGGATTGGATTGTAAAACACGTCTAGACAAAGTACTTTAATGGTAGTTTATAGATGTAACTGTAAATGAAAATAAAGTATACGACAATAATTACTTCCAGTGTATAACATATACGAATTATTAAGAATAAATAATGATATAAAAGTAAAATTAAAATCGAAGAATTACTCAGTTTTTTGTTGGGGAGACATTATAAAAAGAATAGCACTAATACGCCTGGACTCAATAATAGGCAAGAATAACAATATAATTTATTTCTAACTTGACTACCAGCAAGCTATTTATATTTTGAATACCACACAAATTGAAATTTTTGAATCGATTTTCCTTCAACTTACAGTTGCCGTTAAATTTAATAAGGAACATGGTCTTTTATTTTTTTAATTCAAATTTTTTTTCGTACAAGTAATTAATAATTCCATCGTTCAAATGACATTAATTAAATCAAAGGCCATGATGAAAAATTAAAAATTACAATATAAAAACAACAAATATTAAGAAACAGGTACCTATTGGCTATCACGGTTTGCAGGGGACGATGACGACGTCGATAATAATTGAGGAAATACGAACGGCGAGACACGTCTCATAGTGTACATAGTAAATCCCACTCTCTTTTAAAATTCCCTCTGTGCTCACGCGCCCATAATTGGTATAATACCTACCATAGCATTTGGAATGACTCATATATATCTACAGTATTTCTCAAGTCCTGTCACCTAGGATATTCATTTACAGCAAGTTTAACTCGACCACCTCGAAGGCGCCGAAACTAACCTAAACTAACGGGCTTCTACAAACCCGTAATCGAGTTTTACCGGCCTTTAATACCTATTTTATAAAACAAAATTATTTGTCCTGTGTTCTAATTTATAAATAGGGAGACATTGTCTCCTATGACGCTTTGCCACTGCAATTACGTATAAAATAATAATAATGATAATACAAATAATAAAGCCTACTCAACTTACAATATTATATTATCTATTTTTACTAACCTATATTTCAAGTTCCTTTTGTCCATGATAATTGATAAAGAATTTG